CTTAGGTGATTCTGATAAGTCTCTCCTATAAGAGCTTGTTAAGGGCTAGACATGATATGGATTCCCATTTTTACATATTTCCCCCAAAATTTCTTCTATATAATATACTTACACTTAATAATGTTATATAATGGATTAGATTCCAGCCATTAAAAATGCTTCCAAAGCACATTTAACAACAGTGGAAATGCTTATAACATAATTATAAACTCTTTTTATTAGTCTAGAAAGAAAGATATGTAAGTATCAATGGCTGACTTATATCTATGGCTGGAAAAGCTGCTAGTGATTTTTACTTTCACATTCTATTATGGTTTTTTTTCCAAATTGTCTGAAATAAGCAAGAATGTATTAATACAATTAAGAGAACCCCCTTTAAGTACCCCCTTTTCATTTTGATGTGTACTGCCTGGACTTTTCTCTGTGCATTTAAATATATAGAGACATAATTTTTAATAAAACATATGATCTAGTATATATTATTTTGCAATTTGAATTTTTAACTTATTATTTTTATAGCACCAAATATATATTTACCTCCTCCTTCTCCTCTGTTGTTGCATGGTATTCCTCAGATTAGATATAACATATTTTAATTATTTTCTTTTAGTTGTACATGCAGATTGTTTCTTTTTGGGGGGAGGATAATAGACAAAACTGTAGATCTTATAGATGTTTTTTAGTGCACATAGGCAAGTATTTCTTTAAGGTAGGTGTCAAGAAGGGAAACTGCTGGGCAAAAGGCTATGCAAATTATATAATTTAATGAGCACTAACAAACTGCTTTAAGAAATGTTGTACTAATTTATACTATCATTAATAGTACCTTTGTTTCTCTGCAGCTCTCCACACTTGCTATTATAAATCCTTAATAACTTTGCTAATTTTATGAGTGAAAACTGTATACCTTACTTTTTGTATTTCCCTAGCTACTGTTACAGCATTTTTTCAAGCTTATTTTTGTCCCTTACATTTCCTCCTGTCTCAACTGATTTCATATCCTTACCCCTTTTTAAAAGGGTTGTCTTCTTTTTCAAGTGATTCAAGGTGTTACTTTATATATTTTGGATATCAGTCTTTTGTTGCACAGGTTCCATGTTTTTCTGCCAATTTATCATTTGTGTTTCACTGAACAGAATTGTCAAGTTTGATGACAGTCAACTATTTTTCTTTATGGTTTTTCTCTCAAGTCCTTTCCTATCCCATGTTTTCTTTTTTTTTAAATAGAAAAATCTTAGAGCTCTCTAAAAAGTTAGCTCTCTCAATTATGTGGATATTTAATTTTGTGAATGGTGGGAGGTAGACATCTAACCTAATTTGTTTTTCAAATGAATAACTAACTGTCCAGACGCTGTTTATTAATCTCTTCTGATTTGAAATGCCTTATATATGAAATTCCCATATATACATAAAACTGTTTCTGTACTCCCTTCTTTCCCATTTTATATGCTTATCTCAATACCATACAGATTTACTCTTATGGTTTTATAATATGCTTTGATATAGGATGTCCCACCCCTTTTATTTCATTTATAATAAAAAAGGTCTTAAAAAAAGTCTACTCTTCATTGTTTAACTTCCTGATTCTCCAGTCTTCCTTGAGTTTCAGATGACAAGGAGGTAAAATTAAAATTATCCACAGGCAGGACAAAGGAGCATGGGAAATCAGGGAAAGGAGTAAAAAGAAAGAAATGCTCTCAAGATGGTATTTTCCCCCTTACACTTCAAGAAGCTACCCTGTGAATTATCTGCATATGAAATAAGATAGATTTTACGTGTTCAGCCAAAGTCTAAATCAAAGCTGGCTCTAGCTTTCACTGCTAGCCTGTTAAGAATGGCAAGGATAAAGTAAATATAAAATGTGAATGGATGGTAAAGAGAAACATGAACCTATGTGAGAAAATAAACAAGGACTAAAGTGAACAAAGAACATGGTGAGAGAAAATAAAATACATGTATTCTTTTTATGGACTAACCTGTCAGGAAATCAAATCTCTGAGCTTAGTGCATCCATTGTGTCCTGGGGTCTTTCTGCTACCTCTACTTATATCACTTGAGGTTTTATATAGATTCTAGAGGGGTCAGTTCTTTACTTGATAACTGAAATGACACAGAAAGGAAAAGTACTATTAGAAATATCATTTTAATGAGTAATAGAAAACATGTTAATTAAAAGTTGGTAAGCATTAAAAAGGGAATGGAGCAAAAAAGTGTCTGTAGAAGAATAATCACATTAAACAGCTTAACCTTTAAATCTAACCATTGTACACAATATAGTTATATTCATAGTTGTACCTGTTTTTATAGTGAAGCTAATGTTGCACAAGTAGGAAAATCACCATATGGGCAAGCAGGGCTTTGAATCAACAGTTAATTATTTACAATAAATTTAATTATTCCTGGTAGAGATAATGTGTTGATAGGATATGGTGATTGTGAAGGGATTTGTGTCCAGTGCAATGTGGCCAAAGTTTCGGTGTCCAGTAAGCAGGAACAGACAATAATAAAGTCTTTTAATGACTGTTCACACCAAAACAGCATTTTTTTGTGATGTCAAAATGTGAACATAGTGATTTACTGATCTCCTTTTAACTCACCAATTTATAGCTAGTTGCCTCTTGTTCAAAACAGACTATTTTTCCTAGTAAATCAACAGCTGAGCTAGTTCTAAGAACCTGCTTCAAGAAGTACAATAAAAATGCATTTTAATGTCATTTCTTTCCTCGCTTTACATTAAGTTTAAGGTTGGAGACAAACCACTAATTACATATACCATAATGAGATTTACCATTATCATAGCAAACGAGTGGATATATTTTCTAAAACAATATAACTGTAATATTTTAGTACTCGAGTTGCCCCTACCACCTTGTATTTTAAAATGTTCATAATCTGCTAATTTCATGAAACCTAACCATTGGTTTTAGAAGTTTTTTGTATATCTAAAAGGCTAGCTTTTTATAGACAAAAATTGTAAATTAGCGTAACTATTTTACATATCAGATAAAGTAATATGAATTGTATAGCAAACTTCTCTAACTGCACTTCATCCAGGTAAGTTGTGAGCATTTCCTAGGAAACTATCTTCTGTCAAGTTACTTCCGAACTACTGTCTTATCTAGGTCCTTTGCTAGGCTGTGCGCTTCTGAGCTCGTTCCACAGCGGGCGCTGATGAGAAGCAGGAGTACGGAGAGGCTGATGCCGTTTGGTACGTTCAAGTGCTTCCCGCTCTTACCGGTTGGTCTTAGACTTTCACTGCGATCTGGCTCCGTAATCTGGCTTCCTACTCAAGTCTGGTGCCTCCTAGTGCTCATCACCTGTATAATCTTGAGTAGTTGAGAGAAGCAAAGGGGTTCAGGGAGCTGAAGGTTGCTTTCAAGAAAAGCGTTCCATTACTGTGAACTGTATGGATCCAGATTTCCTCTATGTCCAAAGCCATGGTATAAATTACATGCGTACTTTCATAAACTTCTAGAGAAAGAGGGGATGTTGTTTTACTAAGCCACCAAGCAAAGACGGAAAATCCTCAGCTTTCTCAGGTTTGTGGTAAAGACCCAAAGTTCACCCCTCTTCCCCGCACCGTTTATTTTATTCTGGCAAACAGTTCGCTATGATCCTTGATTTCAGTAAGGCAGCCCATCTTTGAAAGCCAGATGTCTGTCTTGGGGCTGGAAAGGAGAATGCCCACAACTTACCTTAATTGCTACGGAAGGGAGGAGGATAGCCGATAATTCTGTTTCCTTCCCCAACCCATTTAATCAAAATTAATCTCATGCGCAACCCATAGCTTCTTTTTGCCCTACAGAAGGAGTCTTTAGCGTTTCTGGCTCTCTGAGTTCAGGCTCTGGTTCCGCTGCTTTGCCTTTCCCTTCTACTCCCACACCCCTACACTACTGCAGCTTTCTCCATTAAAGACGAACAACAGATCATTTTTCTTTGCATGGCAACGCTGAGAGCTCTCTCTAGCACAAGCGGAGCACTGATGGGAATCTCTCCTCTCGTCCTGCCACGTTTTATTTTTCTTCATTTCCGTCTTCCACAATTAATCTCTAAATAATGATTTTCCCAGCTATCTCTGATTTAAGGATGGAGTTTAGCGACTCACGGTGACGCTCCCATCAGCCTTCTTCTGGAGGCGGTTTCCAAAAGAAAACTACAACTCCCATGAGGCATAAAAATAAAGCAGCTGCCGGGCATCATGGACGTCGTAGGCTCCTTCCCCCGGAGCCCCTTCCATTCCTTGACTGAGTAAACTACAAGTCCCAGGAGCCTCGGTACTGGCACGCCTGCGCGAGAGCCCTAAGATGAGGCGGGGTGGGGTGGGGGTGGGGCTGCCCCGGGCGGTGGGGGGCGGGGTCCAAGCGGGCTGTGTGGAGACTTCAGACGCCCGGCGCCATTTAGCGCGGCGAGTTTCTCCGGCGGACGCGGCTCTTCACTCTCGATCACTCTGCACCCCTGTCTTCGGTGACAGAAGGCGCCTGTTGGGGTGACTACTCTTTTCTTTCCCAATCCCCCTTCATCCAGTCCTCTCGGTCTTTTCTGCTCTCGGCCCAGAGAAGCAGCGGAGCTCGGGCCCCGCGGTGAGCGGCCCTCCCCTCCCCACCGTTCCCTCCCCACCGTTCCCTCCCTCTGTCAGCCCCCGGCAACCGGCCCGGGAGGAAAGGGGGGTTTGCCAGGCCCGGGGCGGGCGGGGAGGCCTCGGGGAAGGGGGGGCCCGCTCCTCAAGCACGGAGGCTTCGAGGCTTCGACCCTTCACATCCGGGCGATGGACGCCTTGTGAGACTGGTGCCCCTCGCTGGGGGCGCGTTTGGGAGGCGGCGACCGACTGACTGTCCGGGAGCCTCTGGGCCCGGCCCTCCCTCGCCTTCCCCGGCCCCTCCCACTCTTTTTGGCCCTGGAGCAGCCACCGCTCGGGAGTCCGTGCTAGTCCCTGCCTCGCGTTACGGCCGCCCTCCGGGCCTAGCCCGCCCAGCCCGCGCAGCGGCGGCGGCGGGGAGCTGGAGCTGCGGCTGCATCCGCCGCATCCGCCGCATCCGCTTCTACTCGGTGCCGGCTCCTTGCCCTGCCCCTCATGACTGCGGCGCCTCTGCTGCTACAGCCTTCCCGGCCACCGCTTGCCGCAGGATGGATGCGGGTCGCGAGGCGCTAACCCCGGTGGCTCAGCTCCTCGATAGCTCGCCGACGAGCCCGCCTTGTGAGCCGAAGCAGCCGTCGCAGCTGGGCCCCGTGTCCCGCCTCGCCTTCGAGGTGACTTGTCAGTGCTGAGTTAGGAGTCGTCCGGTTTGATCAGAAGCCATCGCAGCGGAATCTGCCGACCTTCACCGCTCCTCGGAGTCGGCCCCTCACCTATTCTTCATTCACAAATTCGAGCAGGCTCGCCTTGCTCCAGCGTACCGACCATGTCTGGCGGCGCCGCGGAGAAACAGAGCGGCACTCCGAGCTCTCTGTTCCTCTCGCCGCCGGTGCCTAACCCCAAGAATGGCTCTAGCTCCGATTCCTCTGTGGGGGAGAAACTGGGCACTGCGGGGACGGACGCTGGAAGTGGCCGGACTGAGGAGTACCGGCGTCGCCGCCACACTATGGACAAGGACAGCCGTGGGGCGGCCGCGACCACCACCACCACCGAGCATCGCTTCTTTCGTCGCAGCGTCATCTGCGACTCCAACGCCACTGCGCTGGAATTGCCCGGTCTCCCGCTTTCTCTCCCTCAGCCCAGCGTCGCCCCGGTGGGTCCGCAGAGTACTCCCCCAGAGCCCCAACGCGAGGAGACCTTGACCGCTACCGCCGCTGCCCAGGTAGCCCAGCAGCCTCCCGCCGCTGTTGCTGCCCCTAGGGAACCCCCCGCCGCGGGCCCTGCGGCCACGACTGCCCCCAGCAGTGCCAGCAGAGACCGCCAAGTTTCCCAGCCGGATCATGTGGGGAGCAAAGAGGAGCCTCCATCGAGGAGCGGCAGCGGTGGCGGCAGCGCCAAGGAACCGCAAGAGGAACGGAGCCAGCAACAGGACGATATCGAAGAGCTGGAGACCCAGGCCGTGGGAATGTCCAATGATGGCCGCTTTCTCAAATTTGACATCGAAATTGGCAGAGGGTCCTTTAAGACAGTCTACAAAGGACTGGACACTGAAACCACTGTGGAGGTCGCCTGGTGTGAACTGCAGGTATAGCCCCGCCTACTTCTTTATTTTAGGGTGGTTTGAATATCAGATGTGGCTCGGTTAAGCCAGTTTATTGAGTTTACCCTTTTACTTGTCATTCTCTAACTGTTCGCCCTGAGTAGGAGGCCAACTTTGGAAAGACATTGAAACTAGATTTTGCCTCTTGTACCAGGAATTATTGATAGGGAAATCGTCGGTGCAAATGCATTACCCATTTGTTATTGTTAAAGTGTATGGAAGGAAACTTGGAATTAGTGGGGACATTTTTTAGTTAAGAAAGTACAGCTTTCTTGACTTGTGCATTTCAGTTTCATCGAGGCTCTGCGGTGATGAGTTGCTGTGTGACATGCATATTTCCATCCCTGAGATCAGGTTGTTTTTAAGTAAGAACGACCTTGTTCACGAATGACCTTCCTTTGGCTATGTCTTGGTGGTTCTACAGGCGTTTAATAATAACTACTATAAAAAAGACTTTCTCCTCTGCTAAATGCTTTGGGACTAGTAAGGTACGATAGGTCTTTGATATTGTACCTCCTAATGATGCTTAAGCCTTATCGTAGCTCATAGTGAGATGACATTGTTAATTGAAACCTAATATGTATGTCTTCAGCCCATTCACTATACAGTGAAAAGCACCAGTCCGCGCAAAACTGTGTTAAGTGCTTTGAGAGTTGTGTTGTTACTGTTTTAATTTTGTTTTAAAAGGTTTTTAAGCCAAACTTTCCCAAGAGCCTATAGGGGTCACAAAGCTTACTTTTTAACCTCTCAGGGAGGTTGCCATGATGTAAATAATGGTGTGTCATTCTCTCGTTGACAAGTATATTCTAGGTTTAAATAGCTGGCTTTGGGCCACTTGTTGCTTGACCTATAGCAGCTTGATTTCCTCACCAGGAAGTGAACACGGGTTATTGGAAGAAGCAGAGTAACCCTGAATGAAAAATGTCAGCTATATTATACGTGAAGAATGCAATTATCCATAATATTCTTGCCAAGAAAATGGACCAAGCCGAAATAGGATATGAAAGTAACAGAATGATCTAGGAATTTTATTTTATCTATGTTAATAATACTTAATTCTTTGAATGTCAGTTTCCAAATGACCATGACCATATCAGATGTGAAGGGAAATTAACATGTGGAAGGAAGTAAACTTTAAAACTGACAAGTTCTTTAGAAAATAGTTTCTTAGGTTTTACTGTTAATGATATCAAACTTGTAAGGCATTGTGAAATAACTACTCAATTTTATAGAAGTTTAGAATTGGAAAGGTGGCAGACCTTTTTAAAAAAAAACAAAAACTTGCTAAACTATAATTTGTTTCTGTTGGTCAGCCTTATTAAAAAATTTAGGTCTGATTTCTTTAGGTTTACAAGGAAAAATTTTGTTTACAGGCATATTCCTATTTCTTTTTTGTACCTGGGGTGCCTATTGCTATGGATCCTGGATTTTATTCTTTTGTTATGGTTTCATATTTGAATAGGTGGTTTTTAACAATTTTTTTCATTAATTAGCTACCTAACCCTCTTAAGACTTGACCCTAGTAAATATTGAGCACTTTATGGATTAATTTTGGTAGTTTCAATTGTTTAACTTTGAAGACTTCTATGTGTTTGTTTTTCTTTATCATCTAGGGTTTTCTAATAAGTTTATTGTCTTGGAACTAATGTACAGTGGACAAAACTCAGCTTGTCTAAGTCACAGTAGGAATTTTGTCCAAGCACCTCAGTTTTTCTTAGAACTCATGACTTTTTGGAATTTTGTTCTCTGTCTAGGCGTATACATAGTCAAATTAAAGAATATCAGAATTTGGCTGCAGAACTCTAGCTCCTTGAGTGGTACCCTGATTTAAAAACTTCCAAATGTTGTTTAATCCTGCTTCTATAATTTTTCATTTTATTTTTTAAAAATGTAATTATTCTGGCCCCAGGATCCTTTATAGCAGTAGGTGGGCAGTGTTTTTGTTTTTTTGACCAGGGCATTTGCCTAGTAACCTATTCAATAGATTAGTATTTGAGGATTGTTTTTTGAGGGGCAGGAGGATCCAAATTAAAGAACACACCAAGGAGTTACTGAATTATTGGGAAGAAAGGAAAGCTCTTTTCACTAGATGTACACTTCTAATATATGTATTGTTCTGTAGGAAGATGGGAGAAATATTGTGTTCATGTGTTGAGTTAAAAGTCTTAGTGTATTAAAACTGGAAGAAATCTTGGTTTATTCTTCCCACTTATTTGATAAAGAACCTGAAATCATAGAGCAGGAAAATGACTTGCTTAGATTGGTAAAGAACACAAATTAAACTGATTAGGACCTAATAATTTGGGAAATGTTAGAGCATTTTGTAGTTTAGTAGATGGCTAATTAGTAAATCTCAAATGAAGCAATTCCGTTCTGTGGAAGACATCAGATTTGTAACTTTTGATCAAGTTAATTGATTTTATCACTTCAAATGGAGAAATAGGCATTTTGGGATGGAGAATGGGTAAGTATGGAATATATAAATCAAACTTGTTTCCATCAAGCTTATTTTAGAGTCACAGTATGCATAGCTATCTATTAAAACAAGCAAGTATCAAGTCTTTAAACAATACATAGGTAATGTTTTGATACCACAAGATCGTAAGTGATAACTGAGATCTTTTAATATGCAAATTTATTTAACTGGTTTTATTAGGCAATAATGTACCTTGATAAGAAAATGTTAGACTGGTCTTTGTAGAGTTTACATTGCTGTTCTAGGAAGGATCTTATTTTTAAGAATCAGCATGGTTGGCTTTAAGAAAACCTGTTGGTAGATAGATTTCAGACTTTTAAGTCTTTAATCTTTTCTCTCCAAGCATTTTGCTCCTCAAGTTGCTTCTAAATACAGAGTACACACAATATATTCATTTTCTGCATTTTTTAAAAAGATTTTTATTTACTTTTAGAGAGGGGGGGACGAGGGAAACAATGTGCGGTTGCCTCACATGCACCCCCTACTGGGTACCTGCCTCCAACCCAGGTATATGCCCTGACTGGGAATCGAACCAGTGACCCTTTGCTTTGCAGTCCGGTGCACAATCCACTGAGCCACCCAGCCAGGGCTCACTTCCTGTATTGATGAAATTGTCTCCATATCCACCTGAAGGGAGAGGTCATATCATAGATTTTGTTGAAGCTCCAATAAATTCAATGCTTGTTTTTCTCTGGCTTTTAGTAAGTTAAGTCTCATGTCTCAATGTAGGCATGTGATGTTAATGTTTTATAAAAAATTTAACTGTGCTTCAGAAATAGGATGTGATTCTATGATTAAAAAACCATAACATTTCTTTGCTGTAGTTCTTAAAATAACTAATAGAACTGAATCTTTCCATTTGCAAGTTGAGGATTGTTTTTACCTTTACTTTTTACATTTGTGTGATATTCCTTGTTTTTTAGGAGAGAATTTGCAGTCCCAAGAATTAGATTTCAGGGAATAGTCTTTGGAGTTTTTGTTAGTTGGTTTGTTTTTAATTCTAAGTCCCTTATTGAGTATGGGCAAATTCAGATAACTCAGGGGTAGCTGCTATGTATATCAAAGAATCATTAGTGATACCCTGGCTGATGTGTGTGGCTCAGTGGATGAGTGCTGGCCTGCGAACGAAAGGATTGCGGGTTCGATTCCCAGTCGAGGGCACGTGCCTGGGTTGCAGGCCAGATCCCTGGTAGGGGGCACTCGAGAGGCAACCATGCGTTGATGTTTCTCTCCCTCTTTCTCCCTCCTTTCCCCTCTAAAAAAAAAAAAATGATTGGTGGCTTGTTTGAAATCTTTTGTCACTTCTAAACAGGGCACAATAGAACTAAGGACAAAATAATTTTGGCTAGGTAAGATTTGACTTAAAATATGTGTAGATTTATTGCTTCAGGAAGTAACATCTGTGGTACAGGAACTGAGAATTACATTTAGGTTGATTATTAATGATATAGTTAGTTCTGACTTATTTTTAGGAGTATATATGTTTTCCTTTTCTTTTATTTACCTTTTTTTTTCCATCTTTAGTATCACAGTTGTTCCTAATGTAGGAGCTTGGAAAGTTTTTTTTTGTTGTTTGTTTCTTTTGTAAAACATACTGGGAATCTATTGTCACCTGGTGACTGAGTTTGTTTCTTTACATTCAGATTTTAGTGCAAGACTGGTGATGTGAAAAATCATCCAAGTTAAATCCTAGGGAAACATTCAAGTAAAACCGGGCCCTCATTTTCAGAAATCATCCTAAACCTGTTATTTGTATTTTCTGGTAGCTTTTAAGTTTTTAAGATAAAGATGTAAAAGCAGCTGGAGAGGTTATGCTCAAATAAAAATTTCTGGGAATGTTGAGAATAATATTTACAATTACTAAGTTTTACTGTAACAGTTCTTTATATTTATTTATTTTTAGCATCTTGCATTTTATTTGCTTTTTTTTTTTTTTTTTAAAAAAAGGACCAGTCTAGTTTGCAGGAATGGGTAAGACTCAGCACAACCGGAATTTAGATTTGAAGAGGGCACTAGTTTTCTGCAGTAAAATGTAATAGTTAAGAACTAAATTGCCTGGTTCAGCTAATATTTGTGTCACTGAGAGCAATTTCTGTGCTAGTTTTTTTTAATCTCTAAATAGAATGTAATAAATACTTATTTTGTAGTATTGTGATTGTTAAGTGAATTTATATATGTATGTGTGTGCTCAAAATCATTGATATATATTATATTTATATAATCATTTAGGACAGGACCTGGGACATAAATATTAACTATGATGATACAGCATCTCTTTTAGGCTGTTTTTTTCAGGTATCTATGAAAATTTTGTTTGATTTGTTTACATTTATGCTTGAAAAATTATGTAGTGAAACTTATTGTTGCTAACCTTGTAGGAGGAAGTTTGGAGTTGAACATGGAGTCATCAGTACTTTCAGATTTCTTTGCCTGTATTCTGTCCAGTTTTCTAATTTCACAACCTGTCACTTTCCCAAATGCCAGTCTTTCTGAATTACTAGTTTCCAGA